TTTTTTAATCAATTAAAGTTCTTTTGTAAATATAAAAACGTTATAATTATATCTTATCGAACTATTTTATTTTTTATTAAAAGCTGTACTAATAAAAGATAAGCTTCTAACAATATTTTATCGTCACCCACCAATAAGCAGCAACAGGCATAGTTAGAATAAATTAATTTTTATACGATTTGTAAAGTACCCCGAATAAATATACGGGCGGATAAAGTAGAACCTGAAAAACTTGTATTCTCTGCTCTTTAGTTACGTACACAATTTTCATTATTAAACAAACTTTTTAACTTTTGAATGCCATACAGCCATACTCCATCAATGTCAGTCTTTATTATGTATGTATTTATTCATCAATCAACCTCACTTTTTTATGTAATTTTATATAAACTGAATTTAATCAGAATTCTAAACTTTGTTCGAATTGTAAATTATTTATCTAATTAGATACAAAGCTCAAAAGTTTCAATAAAATATTTAGCCAGGAAGAACCTCAGGTTATTGGGAGTATTTCAAAAATATTTTCCTTTCCTTTTAGAGTTTTTAGTTTGTATATTCTTTTTGATAATAAAGAAAAAAATAAAATATTACAAGGAAATTAAATTGAATATTCAGAGAATTGACAAATAAAATAGCCCAGTTTGACAGCTAAGTTCAATCTGCCAATCTTCTATTAGATCCTCTACTCCAATCGTTTAAATAAAAAATTCGAGTGACTTTGCACTGATGGATGACATGACCTAGCTCATCTAGTCCTTTTTTAACTCTACCTAATTGTTTATTTATGTCGTAAAATTGTTTAGAAGCTTTTTGTTATTTAGTGATAATCCTTTTTAGCATCAATTGTGTTTTATTTCATGCCATTTAATGTTATTAAACTTTATGCCCAAAATATTTATGCGATATTTATCCCCAGAAATTAATTTTTGTTTCTAACTCCTGAAATAATAAAGTTAGACAAAAAATAGTTATTACAAAAATTGTTCATTTTTACAAGATGCACATTTTTTGTCTAAACAATTTTTCTGTATCTCCATTAGTTCAGCTGAAAAATCATAAATAAACATTGAATTGTTTATAACTAACGAACTAACCATGGTAGAAAAAAATAACTAACATATTTGTAATTAGCAAGCAAAAATCTATAAAAATTGCCAAAGTTATCTCGTCTACCTTTATTTTAAAAAAATTGCATACAGCTCTTATGGCTGGCCTATGGACTATTAAACTTTCCGTTGTTTAACACTTAAATTTAGTTTTTTTTTTCTCCTAAAACTACGCTCATTACTTTTAAACAGGATCCCAATCGACTCGTTCATTTATTAGCCTTAACTACTTATCTATCGATCTATTTACTCTACATTGAGTAATCAAATTGTCAAGCCAAAAAAAGAACAATACTTCGTTGCAGCTTGAAGGACAGACTTATCGACATGGCTGATATATCTCTACCACAGCTAATAAAATATTTAAGTTGTTTTTTATCTCCATTTATTTTCGTCATTTTTTCGAAACTGTTTGGTATTGTTATTCATTAAGCATCGATCAATACTAAAGATAGTGTGGAGTATAAAACTTGGCTGAATCGTAAAAAAGACGTCTTCATAAATTTATATCGTGAAGATAGTTTGGTGCTCGTAAACTGTTTCAGGTGTCCAAGAATAAGGTAATGTTTAAATAATATAATAATACTTTAATGAAACCTAAGAAAAGGTTGAGAAAAGAATAAGTGAAGACAATTTAAAGGAAAAACACTTGGAATTGAAATTAATTGGAAAAATGAAGAGTTTAATGAAAAATTGATAACCATTTTGTTACCAAGATTACTCTAGTGTTTTATTGCTACCAAAAGTCACGGTCATGCTATTTGGGTATAGTATACTTCAAAAAATAATTACCATTTTTAAATAAATTAGTAATAGTTATCGGAATCAAACAATGCATTGATGCTAGAAGTATACCGTTGATTAGGGCATGCATAATTCACTAGTATCCAATAGTTACCATGGTTTTTAATGAAAAGACAGTAAATAGAAGTTAAATTTATCCAGTGTCAAGGGTTTTAGTAAAGATAAGTTGAATTTTTATTTACTGATCGATGTATTTATGGATAACATTTACTAACGTAACAATGAGACATTAATAAACAAAGAAAAAAAAACAACGAGACATGCTGGTATTAACGATTATGTGTTAATGAATTCTGAGGAAAGAAAAATGTAACAGAAACGTCTGTGTAAACTGAATAAATAATAAAGTCAAGTTGAACTGTTATTTAATGCTTGACAATTTTGTACGAAAGTCTTTTTGATCATAATCAAAATTAGCTAAAGATCTTTTTTAATCATATAAAGTATTTTAGTTTTAAATAAAGTTTTTCCAATATCAATCAATTGATTAAAATATGAGTAAAAATATACACGTTTCAATAGTTTCAAAATAATTTATCTTTGCTATAAAGATGTTATTTTAAAATTTTTCCAACAAATAATTCCACAGGTCAAGAAAATTCTTTTTTTCAACACATATTTTTTTAGGACAAGACAAACAACTTCTATTTTTCTCCAATTGATTTCCGTATTTTAGAACATCCAGAATATCTTATTGATTTTACCCATCTGTTTCTTCTGACCTAAAGAGTATAATTCAAATGGGTAGTTTTTAATATTCATGATGCAATAAAACGAGAGAAGATTGAAGTATGACTTGCATTGAGATATGCCAATTAATAAGAAAATTTATTGAATTTTGTTGGCCATATGATTGTTTGTATTACAAAAAAGATTCAATTAATGAATGAGTGTACAAAATTGCTCGAGTATTTGTAGATGCTGGACATTCACTAGAGCACGACGCATACGCATTTAATCGATGGACAAACCGTTTCTCTTTCCCGCATTCTGTCGTTTGATATGTTTAACGATTTTCAGTGGTCCGTAAATCCATGTAGCGTTTGTGTCGTTAGTCCTGAGTAGATGATATAAACCAAGCAGAAAACGTAGTGTGTCCCTACTGTCAGGGAAAAGCGCGGATCAGATTTTCCCTCTCATGACAGTAAAATCCCTTCGGTCCGAAATATAATGTCGAGAGAAACTTCTAAAGCCTTTTCCTTACCTTTACCCCAGGGTTATATGCGACATGCATGACCAAAAGCTCGTCTTTTGCTCAGCTTAACTTTACTGCAGTCTCATGTCAGTGGAGAAAATCTATTTCGAAACTTCGGGACAATGTACTAACCTCCACCGACATCAAGAAAATAATACTCTTGTATTTACTTTTATTCTGTTGTAAAAGATATACTTTTCTTAAGCTCACAAAACATCTCATTCATTTTTCACAAGTCGACAAGTATTTTTTAGAAGTACATTTTCGAATGGTTTCTAATTATTTTAGAAAATCAGGTCAAAATAAGAGCCATTATTAAACTGTCTGGCTATTCTTTTCAATTTGCAATAAATCATTTGTTAGGAAAAACTGAGTTTTATATTTAATTTTAAAGAAATAAAAGCTATTTTTGTTAAAGTAACTCATTTTGCCCCGGAAAATACGACAATCTCCCCTGCTCTATTTTTTTTATCTTAGATTTTATCACGTGTTTCCTATTGATTTAAATTAAACTAAGCTTCTGTAAGGAATTTCACCAACATAGTACTTTTAAAGTGGGAGAAAAATCCGATTACCTGTATTTATTTCAGTATATACTGCAGTAAGTGTGTTAAAAATAAATGTATCTCATGTTGTAATTAGACAGTTTATCTAAACTCTTCTGAGCAAGTAAACTCATCTACTTATATAATGGATAGTGAGATTATTACAATGGCAAATAACAAGATTATTCTTAAAACCACAACTGTTCTCGACGTAATTAATGAAGATTTCTCCATGAAAAAGATTATAATCAGACATTCTTATAAAAGAGATGTTCAACTACAAAGAAAGCGTAGACATCACCATCTCATTTTCATAATCCTCTCTAATTCTTATAACTCATTTGCTAATTATCACATTCGTGAAATTCCATTTAAAATTTTCATCATGTTCTTTGATTTTATGATATCCCTTTCACTCCTTATCACTCGTTTCCTTTATGTTTCCTAGCTCAGAAGTAAAAGCGAATACTGATATTTTCAAGTCCTTGGCCTACTACAGAATTTCTCAATTAATCCTATTTGTTACGCTTTTTTCACTTACATTGCAAATATATTTTTATTATAAAAAAATAAAAATATAATTACGTTAATTATTCATTAGGACATGACAAATTTAAAGTAATGTAATTAAATAATTAATTAAATACTTTGAAAAGTTAAATTTTTCTCACCAACAATCAAAGTAATTAATTTTTTTTTCAAGCAGAAAATTAAGAGAAGTTTGAAAAAAAGTTTTGAACTCGGTTATTGTTTTTGTGGTGAATAAAATCTTTTGTTTTTTTTCTTAATAGAATAAATGTAGTTTATATTTTTAGATAATTATAAAGTTTCAACAAAAATATTTCTTTTCCTAAAAATAATTTTAGTTTGGTCATTATTTCAAAATAAACAACAAAATTGCAAATAAAAATTATTTAAACCTCTTAATTGAACTGATTAATTAAAAAATTATAACTTATTATTTTTTACTTTTTGTTTTAATTTATAATCATTGATATTTTTCTTGAATTTCAATATTATTTCTTCTTGTATTATTTTATTGAAAAAGAATAAATTAAACTATTCTACCGAACTTCTTCAAAAATAAGCAACCAAAATCTACTTATCCTGAAAAAAAACTTTTCCAATTATTCGATCAGCTCTGAATATCGATTGGATTTAATATTAATTCTCAAAATTGCTTCTAAAAATATACGAAAGCTTTTAAACTCAATTAGTTCAAGTGGTTGGCTGATTTTTTATTGCGAATAATAATTTCATATCTTCCTCTAAAGAACGATTATCTTCATTACTCCAGAACAAAAAAAAAAAGATCAAAAAGTCTTATCAGTTTTCTTTTTTCTATTTCAGTGACTGAATGAAGACCAACTGGTGATGAATTCGTACACGAGTGGGGATAAAAAATTGACATTAAAGCTCATTCAACAAGGATTGGGGCCCTTGGCCACGACATTAAGTCGGGCAAGGAGGCTTCACTTCCACCGATAGGAGGAAGTTATGGTGTCTTACCGGGTGCGATGTCTGTGGCTGCACCCGTGGCACTGTGGCATCGAGCCCACCTTTATAAGGCGCTCGCCTGCGTCGTTCTTGCACTTATCGCACTCCAGTACCTACTCAGCGGTGTACTCGATAGTCGCTCCATTGAAACTATGTTCACTATAAATGCTTCGAGGTTTGTATATATCACAAATTATTTCATTTTCACATCACATTTTTACTAAAAAAACTATACACTTTTTGTTTAAGGTAGTTATACCGCGAGAGCAATTACTTACAATTTTTTTAAACCGCATTATATTTATAGAATAACAAGAAATGAACATTTTTTTCTTTTGAACAAAAAAGATCTGACGTCTAGAAATGAAGATATTTGCAATTAAAGATTGCGATTTTACCATGCAGTCTAATGGTAGAAGGTAAACTGTTGTAGTTTTTCAATAAATATTCCAAAATGAAATTTGCGATTACATTTAAAAAATTCAGAAAATCAACGAATATTTAATTAATGCTTCAGTGAAATTTTATAAAATTTTGACGTTCAGCTATTGAACGAAAAATTATTAAAATAAATTTTCCGACAACAAATGGAAGAATAGTAATGTGGTGGTACATACGTATAAGTAATGTCGATGTATTGGTACAGGTCCATACTAAGAATTGTTTCAAATTGTAGAAGAAAAATTATTAATAATACTTCTTAGATATTATTGAATATTAATTATATCATATTATAAATAATTTTTGAATATAATTTCATTAAAATTTGGATATTTTTTTACATATATAATTGGTTCTATTTGGCTTGGGCACAATAAATTTTGTTACGAGCTCTCGAGAGATCACTACCTTAAATAAACAACATTTCTATACTTGTTTCTCAAGTTACATTTTTTCGTATTGACGAAATATTCATTGAGTCATTGCAAACAATATAATTGAAGTCAACTTGGGTAAATACACCAATAGAAAGATTGTAAAGATAAAAAAGTAACAGATGATTACACGTAAAAATCAGTTTGTATTAAAAAAAAATTTCTTTTTTTTTGTAAATAATTGAGACATTAATATAATAATTATTTAACGATTAAATATTACAATTATATTATTAACTTCCCAGTGGGAAGTTATCGTAATGGGTCCGATTTTGCGAATCCCGAATTTTGACATATCTCCACGTTTCAAGGCCTCCAGAGTTAAAGACGACAGTTTTCCAGTATGTGCGTATTTTTGTACGTGCGTTCGGAATTATTTTTTGCCTTGATTATCTCGAGAACAAAAAATGATATCGACGTGGGGCCAATTGTATTTAATGCATAATGACGCAACTTAGAACTGATTAGGTTTTTAGAAAAATTGTTCCAGCCATTTTTTTGTCAGAATCGAAGAACTGGAAAAAATAGAAAACTAGCTAGGTCTTATCATTCTTTCTGTTGGGAAATTAGTTGTATAGACCTTTCGGGTTTCACCCAGACCACTGGAGAGCACTGGTATTACAATATTATGATCTTATACTATAATTTAAAGATCAAAAAATATTTCAATGCATTTTAATTTTTATTCTCTGATAATTTCAGTAATTTGTTCGCTTTCTAATTGATGGTCTTTCATTACTTTGTGAACTCTATCAAACTTTCCACTAAATCTTAATGATAATATTTAATGGATATGAATTGAATACGAAATATTAAATTCATTGATTTAATTCAAAATTATCAGCTGTTAAACTTTTTTTGTTCTAGAAAATAAGATTCAAGGCTAATGTAACAAGAAAACGTGAAAAAATTTCATTATGTAACTCGAAAAAAATTATTTTATGAGTCATAATATAAATAGTACGCAATAGAAGAATCTGTTGAACGTAAAAAAAAATTACAATAATTACAAGTCATTAAAATAAAAAGAGAATAACTGACTATTGTTTATAAAGTTTTACACCTTTTTCGTACTTAGATTAGCATAATTAATTTGCAAAACATGCCTTTAGTGTCATAAAATTATAAAGTACCGTTAACATCCAAAAGAAATCAGCATAACAGCAAATTTCAAAAAGTGCTATTTTATAAAAAAAAAGTCATGTTCAATACTTAAGTAAAAAAAACTAGTTTTTATTCGAGTCTTTTAAACTTCAGTTACGGTTATGTTTTTTATACCACTTCTCTTTATTCTTTATTGCCTCCATTTTTGCTAGAAAGGAAATGGAAAAACCTGAAAAGTCTTTCAAAGCTTTTACCACACTAGAATAGATAAAGAATTTACTACATATTTATACGTAAAACAATAAAATAACTATCCATAAAACAGTTTTGAGAAACACATGTAAGTAAGGATGATAAAAAATCAAACTTATCATTTATTTTTTCAACAAGTGCACATGTAGTAGTAAAATCCTATCGTTGTCAGACGCGATAAGCTCCCTAAAACATACTGATTTTTCCTCCAATCTCGTTATATTATTATCGCATATACTTGAAATTCAGCAAACATCTACGTTATCAGGGAAACTTTCTTCAAACGTGAGAATGATGAAAAAAGAAAGTGTTATGTATATATAATACATATCTATATGTGTATCAGAGTAGACAACGCGAGCTTGCGCATTGTTGTTCACCATACCGGAAGAAGGCATCGATCCGCGTGATCCAATTATACGAAATTCTATTACAGCTTCGCTAGATGTCCAGCATGCTTACCAGAACATCGACTCTTCTGTTTTTCATTCCTCGTAGACAACGATAAATTGAGTCTATCTATAAAGAGAGACAGAGAAAGGAGGGAAAAAACAACAACTACGTGTTAACGTTCGATAAAAATTGAAAAAGAAATTAAAATAGTCACGGGTAATTCTTGTGGAAAAAATTAATGGGACTATACACTTTATAGTTTGAAATGGCGCAAGTCTCTAGAGACAGAATGTCATTAGTTATCGCGGCTGGTGTGTGTGCTGGCGACAATATCCTCTTGGGGGAGGCGTAACCTGTGACGTTACCCGCCCTCTTGAGAGTGGGCGAGGGTTAAAGGTTGAACCGCATTATTGGAAAACGGCTAATCCTATCCAGTTGGTATTGTCGAAACATTCAGTTAATCAATAAAATTATGATTAATTATTAATTATTTATCCAATGTTGATGAAAGCTGGCTTTGATTAAGATAAGCTTTCATAATATAATGAACATTGAAGACTTTACTAATTATGACCTTACTAAGAATAAGGCTATAAAATTGATTCTGAGATTCATCACTAAGAGAAAATACTCCAATTTGTTTATTAAACAAAGTAGTGATCTAGTGACGTCAATGTGTCTATTGAAGAAAGCAAATTGAATTGGTACTTCAACCTATAAAGACATCGAATTGAAATACCTCTGCTGCTGAAGGCTTTCAAATATATAGAAACTCAATATTGGGGAATCGTTGCAAAAAACAAAACGAAAATCTAAGTGATTTCTGAAGAAGTGTGATTCTGCTAAAAATAAATGATATGTAATATGCTAGAAATTATTTTGAAGTATCTCATATTATAAAATATTCCAAACTCCAAAAAGCATTTTGGAGTAAGTTTTTAAATACTACATTTAAATATCAGAAAAAAGTTCATTCTAAACTCATAGGAAATGTTGAATTGAAATAAAAAATTATTTCTCATAAAGTAGTGAGAGAAGAATAAAAAAAGATCAATACCAACTTTATTTAATATTTGAATTGGACTGAAATTTTTTGCTTTTAAACATTATTATTGAATTTCTATTTTACTTTTCCGTATTCCAAATATTTATCAAGCTAGGAATAAAACAACTCAATACAATTAATATCTGTCTGAAAATAAAAATAAATAAAAGCTTAATTAACTAGATAATAAACTGTGGAGCTAATCAAACAGATTGCTTGAACAATTGCAGTGTAGCCATACATAGAAGTTGAAGTGGAGATAGCTAATATATTAAAGCAAATAGATGAGTGTATGAATTTGACTTAACAAATACATCCATATGCAGTGGTTCCTTAATGAGAGATATCTGGATATCAGCTGTCGAGCTTTATCTTTCTCTTTCTCTCTCCAATACCGCAAACTGCCGTTTTCCGGATCAGCTAGACACGATATAGCTCGACCTTACCAAGTTATCAGTCCACCAACTGTTTACCCGACTTGGTCGTGTGCAGTTGCTTCCCTACGAGTCAGCAGAACTTGTACCTCAGCTATTCCTTGTTTGTTTGACGGCTTGCATGCATGTTCTAGTAAAACAGTCAAGACTTGTGTTCTTGAAGATATGATGATATTCTCTTTGTTTACTTTTAAATTACATATTTAACCTGCTTTGAAAATCCTATTATAACTTTCAAATTTATTCTCTTACACGATGAAAGAAATTAGATATTCTTGTCAAGTATGTATGACTTCCCATTCTTGTTTTGGTTTGCTAAAAGTTTTTCAATAAACATCAGCAGAATATTTACAAAACATGTGTGCCCTAGTTATTTTGTATCAAATTTAACAATTGGAAAAAAAATATTGAAATATTTTTGAGGAAATTTCTAAATTTTCATTGCTATATCAAGACGTCAAGATTATCCAAGACTGCTCTGTTGGGCGTTTCCTGAAAGTAGCTTCAAAGACATCAATTTCCAACGCCTATATTGTATACATTTACCTTCCTCACGTTTGCCTCAGGCTAATATATAAAGTACTTTCAAGATGCATACGTTCTATTTTTCATCTTAAAAGATTTTTACGGTGGAAAAAGTAAGGTGGGAAGAGCTAAAGAATTATTCATGCAATTGGTGTGAAAAAGAACTGATGTATTTCCTCAATATATCTAAATCTGCATTATTTTATCTATTACAATTCTTTATGAATTCCTAGTTTATCAGTTTTCTATTCTTTATGTATATTCAGTTGGTTTTAAGACAAGAATAAACTAATAACTGAGTGAAAACACTTATAAAACGAATTCGTAAAAAATTTAATTTGTAGGTATTGAGAATAATTGTAGTCCTTACATTTTTATGA